ACATGCAAAAAGAATCGCTAAGATTCATTCAATTCCCTACTTGCAATCCACTCCCAAAGATAGGCCTCATTTTAGGCCTTTTAATTGTATTTCCCCCCTTAAGGTTCAAGCGCTGAGATTCGAACACGCCTCCGAGCGTATCTTTGTATCTATGTATCTGTTGGTTGCATAAACCCTGGGCTGACTTGGTGAGTAAGCGGGGGTGTTGCGGAGATAAAAAATAAAAACTTTCTACAATTATTTTCGATACTATTGAACTTTTCTTCTACTTCACGCTGATTTACGCAACTTTCACGGCAGCTACCAAGCAGCCAAAGCCAAAGCCACAGCAACGGGGAAAAAACCTCAAAACAACAAATTTATGGCCACAACAGCGGCAGCGGGCTCACATCGAAATCGGAAAAAAAGGAGGCTCAATGGCCTGGCCCACGCAACGCTGAAGTGCAACCAGAAACAAAAACGAAACCCTTTAGGAAATTTGTTCGGCGGCAAAAAGCCACGAAAACCAAAAAAGCGAAAACCGGCGGCGCTCGCCGCATAAATCCGTTTAAAATGGCCAACCTGGCCAACACCGAAACTGCAACTGCACCTCCAACTTGTGGCTCCATCTCTAACTCTGAGCCCGAATCGAAACTGCAACTGCAACACCAACGCAGCAGCCAGAGGCTGGAGACTGTGCGGGCGGCACAGTGGGTGCCGTGGCTAATGGAAATGGGGAGAAATTTGAGAGTCAATAGAGCTGTTGACTTGTACTTTTCCGAGCTCCAAGAAATAACGAATAATTAATAATGAAAGGTTATGATGCATGGGTGTCATATTTCAGCACTATAAATTAAGGTTAACCATATGTGAGCCTATAATTTATAATTTATTTTATAAGAAACCAAGGAGTAGGGTGTGGGAGTTCTGGGTAATAATTCAAAAGTCATTGTCTGTTTGGAATTACTGATATTCTGTAACCTGATCCGCCAACCTAGCCCGCTTACTCACTTTCGTTTTCATTGAAGGAATTTGTTTAGGCATTTGCGATCAGATTTCGAACTGCAAACTATTCCTAGAGCTTTTCCAGTTCATTGGCCCCACGGTGCGGCTGCGGTTGCCAAATCGATAATAAACTATATGGCTTGTAGGTGAGTGTCTCGGTGCATGGATATAAATATATATCAGTGGGGATAGGATAGCATCGCAGTGGTTTTATTAATGAGCTAAGACGCACGCTTAGCACGAAAAACGCCACCGGAGAGCAGTACGAAAGCTTGCGGATCTTAGGAGTTAAGACAAAGGCTGGCCAAAAAGCCAAAAAAGATTAGGCCGGGCCGAAGATGGGGGCGTCTTTGGCGTTGGCAGCACATCGCATATCAAAATGCCACCTCTGCGGTATCATGGCAATCACATTATAATGTGAGTGGGATCGTGCCTATAATATAATGGGCATAAATATAAGCTCCGAAGTCGAGTATACCATATGGGGGCGCTCGGCAAGTGTCGCACGAACAGAACGTGCCGCCTTGGCTTTCGATCGTGGTTTACGACCGATTTCTTGAGGGATGGCCCAGGGAACGTCCAAATATCCAGCATATAAGGCCTTTTCTTTTTGTTTTTTGTGGATTTCGTAATAGTCTTGATTAATGCCAGAGCCAATAACGCAGTCCACCTATTTAGATATTCTCGGGCCGCAATCGGTCCAACAATCATTATCGTAAATGTTGCTCACAGTTGGTAAATGCCATTAATCAAAACGTTTTTACATTTTATTTTGGTTTCATTTCGTTACAGACTCCAAAATATTTTTGCAGGGGTATTCCAACAAACCACGTTGCCAACCAACCGAATCTTTAGAGCAATTTAAATTTTACTAATGAATGAATGGATCGGTAGAGAAAGGTGAGTGACAGCATAACTAATGTCTGTGAACTACCAGTTGCCATTGAACTTGACTGGTGGGATCTGTGAGTGGGAATTCGACTTCCTTATAAGTGAAATCTCATATGAAATATTAACACATTTTAATTTGAGGTGTAGAGCTTGAAGTTTATGATCTTCTGAATTAATTTATTCAATAATGGATTGAAGCACTTCAATGTTACTTTACGACACTAAATCCATCTAGAAATGCAAATTTTAGAATGAAAATTACTGAATTAATTAAATCTTATCAGCCCGCTTAAAAGCATTCCAATAATTGCGATGGCAATTAAAAGTTAAAAGGTTAAAGCCATCATGGGAAATGCGAAAAAATGTTAATTGAAAAAAAATCATTGGCTTTGGGTTCTGGACTTGAGGTGCAAAGTATTCACCTGCCAGCTACCACGAATGTCAAAATAATTACACCGGCTTTTTCCAATTACATCCGAATTATTTATGCGGCCAAAACAGAATTCCGATTTTCAGCGGCATTTATCATGGCTGACAATCGGGACGGCGTTTCCAGCCTCAACACGCCAAAACGCCGCCAGCAGTGGTCAGCGCATAAATTCGCCGACAAACTCAATCAAAAAGGCGAGCTTGTGGCCAGCCTAGCTCATTTTTTATTTCGACTGTACAGTAGAACTCGGCTATGATACAAAATGGGACTTGCAACCATTTAAAAGTTAAACTATTTCCTGGCAAAAAGCTCAAACTTTAACTACCTTCAAAACACCTTTTTTTCAAAGCTTCCTTCCTCTATTATTTTTTTAAAACCCTATTGATTAAATCTGTACTGTACCCCATACACATATGTTTTTCTATAAACAATTTCGTCGTGAATGCAAATTTTGTGTACACTTTTAATTAACGTTAAAGGTTGTTTGCAGCCATTTGTTGTTGGTGGAGTTTTTCCAGCACTAATTTGACTTTGAGGCTGGTTTTATGGTTCCCGGGCTGTTTACTGATTAGAAAAAAAATCAAGAAAAAACACAAGTAAAATAATTGATAGGAAATCAGGAGATCTAATATTGAATCACGAAATCGGGCTGCCGAAACCGTACTCCATACATAATTTGCTTAATGTTTACTTATGCTAATCGGGGACATTAATCAGACTTGTTAACAACATTGGGCACGAGTCTCGGAAGGGGTCGCCTCGACTCGCCGCCGTAAATGCCAAACAAATCAACAGTCCCACCGAAATTACTTCATTTTTCGTAACTCGAATTGATGGATTATTAAATAAGAGAGAGAAATATGTTCAAAAGATTACAAAGCCTCCCCAACAAACCAATCTGAGATGGGGTTTTCGAGCTAAGCCATGCCCAATGGTGAATGTGTGAATGTGAGAAAGATCATGAGAGAATTATTTAAATAATTAAATTATTAATAGTCTGTAATTACAATTAATAAAGACTATTTTTAGGACCAATTAAAAGAAAAAACGCTCTGAATACTCACTTCCATAAGCCCCAAATTAAACCCTTAGTTCCATTTAAGATTTAATGGCCTTTTTAACACTTTGGGAACAACCCAAGCTGGAAGCTTAGTAAATTTCCACATGGGCACTCTGGCGACGCACGTGCCAGCACCGCGACAATAAGCTGTGGCAACAACAACACTAGCAACAGCAACTACAACTACAACAGCAACGAAGCGTGGTGCAAAGCCAAATGCAACCAAACAATGAACACAAAAATAACAACACAAACACAAAAGAAAGTCGAACAAAACACAACCAACAATGGCTCCAACAGCGGTTTTATGATGTTTTGTGGCAAGGGAGGGGCATGCCAGAGGGGGGAGTGGCGTGATGGAGCCAAATCAAAGCCGACGCACTTTTCGCTTATGAGACGACTCAAGCGGATCCAGTTCAAGCTTACGGCTATATGAAGCCCAAGAAAAGAAATAGAGTTTTTAAAACTGATGAAATGCCAGTGATTTTTCCAATTTACGCCTTTTTTCATGTGTTTGTGGATAGCCCAAAAATTCAAGGGTCAGTCGCTGTCCCTTTTTTTCAGTGCAACCCGGAATAAGGTGGACCAAGCTAACGATTGAGTTGGCCATTTCTATTGACACATTAATCATACGCCATGTTGGCAGCGGGTGCATAAAAGTAATTTCAGATGAACAAATTAAATTAAAAATTATTCATTGTTTAATATTTGATAATTGCAAATTATCTTAGATATAGAGGGGCGACTCTTCCCTAAAAAATATACTACTTTAGGTCTGAATATTTAAAAATTTGTTCAATTGTATCACTCATACGCTGTGTTGACAAGGCTTGCTATTTTATTTGCAAATTTATGGATAATTTTTGGATCTATCAAGAAGAATTAAAAAAAAACTAAAAAGTTTAATAAAATACAAAAGAAATATACAATTTAGCTTTTATAATTTTAAATATTCATTCAATTACATTTCTTAAGAATTTTTGTTGAAAATTTGAAAACAATTTGAAAATTGGAATTGAAATTGGGTATAAGTTATACATATATATTTCATAAAATATTGGTCCACCTTAAAATAAACGTCTTGTTAAACATAAAAAAGGAACAACAACAACGACATGAGCTTGTGAGGAGGCGGAGAACCAAGAAAAAGAAAAGAGGGCTCAGAAGAGTTCGTGGAAGAGGAAAGTGTCGAAAGCGTAGACAAATATTACACATTTAATTATGGCAAGGTGACTCGGCTACGCCTCTGCTTCACCTGTGGCCCCTCTTGTCGCCCCGACACCTCATCTCCATGCCCCACTCCACCCAAGCGGGAAATTCGACTAGGGAAATTCATTTGAAATTTTATTCGGTTGCTTGGCTTCGGATTTGGCTGCGGCTTCGACTTCGGTGACTTCTGCCTGACACTAATGCCTTTAATGATCCGTGTTGTCGCTCAAGTTGAGGACTGCCATTTGACTCCCCATTGTCTCGGGTTACTGCCGTCAGCGCTATCAACTCGATCAGTGACTGGCTAAACTGAGAGGCCCCCATGGGAAAAGTTACGTGATTCGGTTGCATATATGAAAAATAATATGTATTTGATTAGAAACCTAAAAAAAAAGAGTCCAAAAACCTTATCACGAACTCATTTTTATTAAACCAAACGAAATGGAAGGAAGTTTTTAGTTGGACCCATCTATCCTGTTGAGGTTGTCGCACACCACATCGTGGTCATCCTGCATTTGACGCTGCAACCGCAACAGCTTGCGGTGAGCCTTGAGGAACACCTCCATGGTGAGCGAAACACTGGCGGTGAGGGCATCCCGCACCTGTCGCACAGTGGTCAACTGATAGACATTCCCGGTGGCTATCGTGCAGGTTAGGTCATCGTCTCGGCCCTCCAGGAGCTTGAGTTGCTCCTCCATCTTGCACAGACGCTCCTTGAGAAGCTCCTTCTCCAGTGATAGTTTGCGCTCGCGCACCTTCTGCTCCAGCAAGTAGTCCATCACCTCCTCGGGTATGTTGGGAAAGGCATCTTCCAGGGCCATTTTTTAGGAAATTCAGAGAATTTGGTTTATGCCGGATAGGATTTTATGTTTATTTTAAAAACTATATGTGACACAAAGTGTCAAGCTATAGTACAGAATGTCATTGAAATGATGATAAAAATGTCATAATATTTGAAGAGCAAGGTATCTTGGAGATCCACAAATGGTAGAACCCCTCCCTCATATTTTATGCTTCTCTTCACACCTCTGCTATTGACCGAAGCCACTATTATGATTTCATCTGGCCGAGACAAAGACCACAGACGAGATCCCTCTGTCCAGCTCACAATGCCAATGCTAATCACATCAATAAGTTATCCACATCTCCGGGTGGAGACCGCCACCACCATAGTCCGTAGTCGCATCTATTGGATTCCGGTCGTGGGTTCGTGCAAATGAAATATTCTATTAGCTGAATTGTTTTTGCCTTATTCACGACTGGGCATTTGCAGTGGCTAAACATTAATTTTTTTCTCGCACCCCCCTCCTTGATTTATTCAAATTATATTTAATGGCCTTTTGTTGTTGACTCTGTCACTGTGCTAAATGGCAATACAAATTCCTCGCCGTGGTTTTCTATCGATTTTGTGAATTAGTTGGAATTGGTTGAGATCAGAGGGGTGGCGTCTTGAACAAGTTATAAAAGTTTAAATTTTTGCCAATAATAAGTATTTTTTCGGGCAGGCTTCAAGTGTTCCTTGAACTCTCCCCGATTCAATGGAATTATGTATGTGGGGTTTGAACTTGCTTTTTATGAAACAAGTTCTCCTCCTCTCCGGTTTCACATAACCGGAGACGGAGACCACACGCGCTTTGGGTGCCATTTATGAGCATTTAATCCTTTTGGGCAACCCAACAATAGCCACACCACCTTTAAAAAAATGAAAAACAACTACATCAAGCGGAAACAACAACGAAAAAGGGTGTGTTTGGGACATTCAGGTTGATTTATATGATCTCACAGCGATTTATATTTCTATGGCTTTCACTGTCCCCCATAAATACTCGAATTTTGTTTGGAGTGTGACACCCACAGCAGGCCACCAGAAAAGAGCAGTGAAAATTAAACCGAAATGAAGACATTCAAACGGATTCGTCGTAGGGTGTGCCAAATGTCTTGGACGAACTCAAAATTATGTAAATTTTTTGACCTTTTATAAACTTGGCGGGCTTCAGGATAAGATACTTTATGAGGAGCTACTTTATGGAGCAATTCTAGCTAGAAAATAGTAACAATTGTAAGATCAGAGCTTTTACCTTTTGAAAGTTTTCTATTTACCTTTACACATTTGTATGGCACTTGAGAGAAATTTCTCTAATTTCGTTTTTAACTTGTAAGTGGAAAAAAAAAGACCCCAAAACTTCAACGCGTGTGGCCTTTTCTTCATTATTTTTGTGAAAAAAGGGCAAAGACTCTACAATGTTACAGAACTTACCTTCTCTTTTTCTTGTTTTTTGTGTTAGAGTTGTTGTTTCCATTTCCTTGGGGGTTTACAACAAGCCATAAAGAAGAAATGTAAAAGACCCATGTAAAAGTCGAGCTACTGTTCAACCGGTTGGTCTGGCAAATGCCAAAAACTGGCACAAATCTATTAACCAGAAACCGAAAGAAATGTCCCCAGCAAGTGGGAGCTGTTGGGCTAGTCCCATAAAATAAGCAGCTCTCCGTGGAAAATGTATAAACTGGATAAAACTTACTTTCCTTTGAACCTAAACAGTAAAGTCTATTTGATTAATGAACTTGACAAACGTGGTTGCATTGTCAGAGCTGTCGCTAGCTAAAGGAAATGGCTAATTTACTTAAAACTATTAGCGGAAATCGCAGTATAAATGCAGCTATTATTCAATTAGATTGTTAAGAGCAATTCGTTTGTTGTTAGAAGGCTTAAGCCTTAAAATAAAGCTAGTTATAATACTATATTTGAATCAAAGTCCGGTTCTCAACACCTACAAGCCAAGAATAGAAGAGAAACAATTGATATAAAGTGTATTACTTTATATGGAGCATCACTTGAGAGTTAGAGACAAATGTCTTGGATATTCTGGGCTATTTTATAGACGATTGCCTCATTCAGCACTTGAGATCGTTTAGAAACGATTCGCACTTAAGAAACAGAGACACCAAAGCTAATTTCCATTGTAACACTGACAGGCCGAGAAGGAGGAGGGTGAGACCATTAAGATGACGCGACATTTGCAGTTTCATAGAGATAAACATAAGTATAATAAACACATATTGCACATGGGCCTTAATTTGACAACTGAGAGGCATGAAATGACACCAGACAGCTCGACCAGGCCACTCATTAATCTGTCTAAATAAAGAACGTTCCGAGCGTAATCAAAAGCATTTTTGTTCACTTTTGTGAGCAAAAGTTGTAAATTGATTTGCAGCCAAATATGGCGGACAGCTCGCTCTAAATTTCATGTTATTTATAAATTCGCCAAAGTAACCCAAAACAAACACTCATACTCATGCCATGAACCGAAAATGATCATAAAAATCATTCATGGATCATTTGGGTAATAAATCTAGGCGAAATATTTCAAATTCGGGGGGAGTTACGAGCTCCAAAGTGACCGAAGTGTTTTTCTTTTTGGCTCGCAGCATGATCGGAATATTTAATTTCCTAACTGAGATCATTAGGAGCCACAGCAGGTGGAATTCGTCGAATTGAATGTTTTCATAAATAACAAATGCTAAAGCGAAACATTTGCATAGCTCCCCGAAGACCCCCGGCTACCAGTCCAGTAGGAATTGTGTTAAAACTTATTAATTTTCTTGGACAGACGCGGAGTTGAACAAAAGCGTTACAAACACGAGATTATAATAAATTTGTTTTATTGCAATAAATCGAGATTTAAATGAAATCATGGGCTTATAAGGTTAAAAATCAATGGGATTCAAGGGTAGACCATACACCTATTTAATTATTGAAAATGTTCTCTAAATAGATCTCTCTAGTGTCTAGACTAATATGGTCTATTATTTTAACAGAGTCCATCTGAATATCCCCATTGACATAAATTATTCGTAATTTATTCGCCTAATTTCCAAGTTAAACGACACAAAAAATCACAAATTAATGGCTAAGCTTTTAAGATGGTTAATTCGATCACCTGGCCATTGGGCATTACCATATTGGCTTTATTTATTTATTTTCGACACATTATTTGTAACGATTTGAAATATTTACACAATTCCCAAATGAAAAATGTAATTCGAATTTAAATCCAATCGTTTTTTCAAAGCTGCCGCAGTCGTTTCGAGACCCTTTCTTATCGCCTCGTGCGTTGTCATAAATTTTGGTGGAAATGTTGCGTGGCTTGCGCTTGAACCTGGTTTGGGGTCACTGCTCATATTTTGATTAGTTTTCGTCTATTGATTTGAATTTCAATTTAAATTCGAGAGGTTAGTGTGCAATTGAGTTCTTTTCACTGCCTCAGAATTTATGTTTTGTTCAGTAATATTTTATGGCATTTTATTGAAGGCCAATAAACAGATTTCTACTGGATTTTATGGCTATCGGTCGTGGAAAGTTGTTTAGCATACTGGAATTTGGTTTTCCATCCCACCACCCTGGCAGCTAGCTGCCGGCTGCCACTTGCCTCGCCCCGTGCCAGTTTTTAATCACCACAAAATTAACTATGCAACACCAACGCATTTTAATTGTTCGCCAACGAGGCAGCAATTTATGGCTCGCCTTGTGCCCCAATCTGACTCGAAATCGAAATGCACTCAGGAACGGTTTGCATCTCGCACTTTGATTCGAGACTCCCCTTCCCTTCATTGGCATCAATTTTATTTTAAGGTCTTTTCAATTTGCATCATCAATCGATGATCATCAGTGAGCTTGATTGGTCCAGACAGCCAGCCAGTCAGCCAGCCGGCCTGAACTATATTTCTGCACTTTGATATTTAATTTTTATTAATTTATTGGCTGAGCGTTAAATTTTTAGTGCTGGAAAGTCGGGGCTTCCTGTGGAGCTTTTTATGTTATAAAAGTTTATTTATTTTTGCTTTCAAATCGGGAAACAACGATTTTCTTTTAGCTTTTATTGGACTACACAGCCAATAAAATAAGTATGATACAAAGACCTTAATTCTTCTCTGTTTCTAAGTGTTTGTAACAATTGAGCAATTCATTTAAATATCAGAATAGGGTTAATAGGCACCAAAATTTGGGACCCTTTCACTTTCCTTATCGACTGTCAAAGGCTAAAAATTTATATTTGGTTCAAACACAAATGACAAATGCAAATATTGACAAACGACCCAACTGAACCAACTGACTGGCAATCCACCCTCATCGAGAACCCTTCCTATCTCTGTGCCCCGAACGATCTTAAATGGAACCCTTTGTGGGCTGTTGACAATAATAACAGGTGAAAACCATAAACTGCCCCGGAAAAGGAAGTTGAGGATTTTTCCACGATAAGGAAACCACGATACTTGCCTTTGTAAATTTTGGCAACTGACTCACGGTAGCTGTTAGCTGTTACCTGAAGAAGAAAAGGAAGTACATGTAGCACCCATAGACCTACCTGATTACCCGCCGAAGACACATTAACATCACAATTGTCGGTCGGAAAGTTAAGCCGTAAATTATCGGGGGTCTCAGGAATAGCCGTCTGTGACTGTGATACCAACAAAATTAGCATATTTGGCCACTGTACACCGTTGGGTTCGGGCCAAGAAACTGAACTGAAATCCCGACAATGGCCCATGTAGGTAGCCGTAAATCGTCATGGGCTGGCTGTGTTTTGGGCCTATGGTAATGTCGATCGTTGTCTGCCCACTCTTAACTCCCGGATCGAATCGGTCCACCGTGTTTGTATATCCCTCGGTTTTTCGTGCTGTGGCATAAACAACGCAACATAGTCTCTGAATGCCCTCCTCTCAGATCGTGTTGCAGTTGCAGATGCAGTCGCTGATGCAGTTGCATTGACGGTCCATTTGATGGTTCTGTTTGTTCTCGGTACGGTACCAGCTGTGTTTTCACACTTACACTCGAAGTCAAGGTTGACAATAACCCAGCCAGGGATGCTGCCGGGAGGGCATTAAACAATCCCGACAAGGCAGTTAAAACTTTTTTAAATAAAAGCGAAACCTTGGCTAAGAACGACCGAGTTGTAATAAAAAACAATCTCGTGTCAAACAATAAGCAATGTTAATCTTAAGAACTGTTTTATGTGTCTTGTTATCTTTCTCATAAAAGGAAGATAGTGCTTTTCATAGCCAGGAGTATGTTATGACTGTGGAATAGACCAAGACTATCACGATTTGATTATTTGTAGTCCTTTCTTAACTCATTTACTCCGACGCCCGCCTGCAGATTTCTTTTTAATTTCTCCTTAAGATCTGAAGACTTCTGTAGATGGTTGCAGTCACTGACCTGGTGGAATATCACGTGTCCTGTTTCCAAACCAAAACCACAACGTCGGCAATACTAATGTCAATTTGTCAGGCTACCAAATCAAGGCACACAGCAAGTAGGTACCGCCCCACACTCCCGGTCATGCTGCCTCTGCTGCCCGGTTCTGAAGATCCCGGAGATTCTGAAGAGTCGTTGTCGTTGTCGCATGATATATGAGCGCCCTGCCCCGTTTGGTTGTGCCACAGACGTAGCTGGTTGTTGCTTCTGCTGCTGCCGTAACCGCGCCCATTAGGTTCCAAGCCCACAGCGTCCACTGGGAGAAGTTAGACTAATATGCTATAAGGGTTGTCTATAATAATAATAATAATGAAAATTTTTTTTCTTAAATAATCCCATTTCATATGTGAATTCTTATCTATTTTTATAAGTTAGTCAGAAACCATAAATACATCTCACGAGAAAAGTTCTATGAAAGCTTATCTAAAAATTACTCATACGACCTGTGAGCCACAAACAACAGATTTATTTAACATTAATTTATATCTTATATCTTATATCTTTTTATCTATAGAAAATAAAAAATATTTATCTCGGTGCACACTCGAACTCAAGCCGAGTCTTAGCCGAAGTCGAGGCCGTTGCCGAAGCCGGTTATGTTTGCCGCCCGACATCGGGGGCAGAGAGTGCTGCGCGTCGGCGTTTCGGCCTGTTTGCCTCTCCGCTTTGCTTGGCCATTTGTTGTTTGTATGGAGTCGCTCGTTTTTACGTTTTTGTTTTCATTTCCATTCGCTGTATTCTCTGTGTGTGTGAGTATCTGTGAGTGCGAGAGTATCTCTATCTGGGCAATATCGGTTCGGTGGCAGTACGGCGCTACTCGGCAGCTCACTTCCCTGAGACTCTCTGTGCGGTTAACTTCGGCTTCGCGGGCATGCGCGACTGGCTTCGAACGCGTGGAAGTGGAGGAAATTATAGTAAGCCAGAAGTAAAAACCCGTCTCGCTAAATTCGTCGACGTTTGTGTGCCTGGCCTGTGTCTATCTCAGTGTCTTTTGTTGTCAATGTTTTGAGCCCAACCCGGGGCCAGAAAACATTGCTTTTCATCTGAAAAGTTTCTTCAAGAATTATATAAAAAACACACATAAATTGTGCTAAACTAGTGTGTGGGTGTTTTTATTTTATGTCCAAAGTGATAATCAATGATCTGAATAGATCTTCTACAAAAGGAAAAAACACGCGCTTAAATCGATTCGTTTGCTTATCAAGGCACACGCTTATAAATTATACAATTCCCAACTCTTTAACAATCTGCTCTCTTCGCAAAGTTGAATGGAATAAATTTAATCTACTTTTTGCATGCTACGTGACACTAAATAAAGTGAGTTTCTTCGCCAATCCGATCTGAAATCGGAATTCTTTATTGTTTACATTGATATAGGAATATAGATTATTTTAAAGGAAATGTAAAGCATTGGATCTGATAGTTACAAAACATTGATAACAAAACTCTATGATTTTGTATACATATTTTTTTAGTTTTATAAAACGTGCTAAAAAGTCTTTTGAATTTCTTGAAGAAAATATGAAATTTTACGTGACTAGTGTTTATTTTTATGTAAAACATCTTCAGATATACCTTTTAAATCTGGGCTTTGTAATTTTTATTTTGGAAGGTCAGAAATTGTTGTTTCAGTAAAGAATAAATCATCCAACTGGCGGGAACTTAAAATCAACAAGTTTATAAATATATTTAATTAATATATAAATAGTACCTATTTTTATTTCCCTTATTAAAAACCCTTTTTATTTTCTTTTCTTTCAGCATGTTAATATTAAAATGTTCTAAAATGTTCCGCTCCTTATGGATGCTACTGCTTCTCTCACTCCTAACCCTAGAAGGCCCTGTGCCCTCGCAGGCTCTATTGGCCAACATGGGTTACAAGACCCAATCGAATGGGGAGTTGCTGGAAAACGATTCGCGCTACATCTCATATCAAGGTAGGTGGCGGTGTGGATTATCAAAAAACTAAACGAAAACTGTGTCAATTGCAAGGCAATCAATCAAGACGGGCCACTTGAGGGAGCTGGTAAAGTGCTTAATTGTAAATTGGGTTGATGTCTGTCAGAGTTCCAAGTGGTTCTGGGCGTGAGAGTCTGCACTCGATTGCGCAATGGGGAGCCAACAGGTGGCCATATGCCATATCCAACCACCCACCCACCGACTGCATTTGTTTGTCCGGCTCGTCAACAATGATCTTGATTTTTAAGGAATTCCTCAGTCAGTCGTTTGTATGACACCTTTTTATATTCGAGTATCTGAGTATCTGTGGCTTTTAATCAGAAACAGCTCAGTGCTTTGCATTTTGTATAAATATTTGCTCTTTTCCTCGTTTTGCAATGGAATGTATCTTCGAGACAGACTCGAAACGCGTACTCAGCTCAAAACTTTTGTTGACAATGATTTTAATTTTTGTATGGGGTTTTTACCCCAACTAAATGAAGTATTAAAATTCAATGGAAACTTTTTGTTTACCCGTGAAAATTGAGAGCCCTTCGAGTCAGGTTAAATATTGCGAAAGGCTGTTCGAATGAATCAAAAGTCATGAATTACCCATCCCAGGAATTGGGTCAATTAATCGATTTTTAATGAGTTTTTGATAGTGTTGCTTTTATTATGCATTTGTCTAATTTTGGTTTTTCTCTTTCAGATTTAATGTCGAGTGCTAAACGATTTTACGATCCCGAAACGACCTGGTATTCGGAAATGCTGTTCGACGTTTCCAGGAGCCAAGTAATAGTCGGCGCCAGGTAAGAACCAGGAGTCTTATGTTATTATAGTTCTGGCTTCCGGCTCATTTGAGTCACGCAGTTATAGTGAGTCTTACTTTTGCGTCAAAGTCCCGGCGATTACAGTGTAGGAGTCACTTTTTAATTAGCAGTACACCGATAAGTGGGTCATCGTATTTCGTTTTCGTTCTGATAGCGATAGGGCAAACACCCCCAAAAATAAATCTTCCTTAAGCGTTTGTTGGTTTTGGGTTATCAGCAACTGCATTACGTAAAACCCAACGATCCGGAGATAATAAACAGATGCATTGCGTATGAAAAAACGGGGAAGCTCCTACTGTTCTTTGGCTTGTGACGCAAGTTTTCAAAAAATATATATATGCTTGTATATAAAAAACGAAAGTGCACGCATCGCCTTACCGAATCTTGAACATATCAGCAAGCTCGAAACAAAAAACCCCTCATACCCATAACTTTATCTCGAGTACCTGCTGTGGGCAAGGGAATAAATAAAGATAATTGAGTGTAAAAATAAAAATATAAAAAATTAAGGAAGGAAAAAGAGTAGAAGGGGAAAACCCCAGAGAAAAAGGTAACCAAATAATATTGCAGGGCTCTGAGAGAGCCAAAGATTGCCAGTTGGTGGGGTAAAGTACTTTGCTTATTTGTTGAGCAATTTAATATACGAGCGTACGCGTATCTGTATCTGTATCTGTAGCTCAGCACTCGGTTCTTGTAGTTTGCTTTTCATTTACGCGCCGAGAACCCGGGGACTTGGGACTTGAAGTATATTTGTTTCTGCTTCGCATAGATGTGACACCTCTCCTCTATAAAAACAGAAACAACACACCACATAACCGATAAGATATATGTATAGGAACGTATTTGAAAGCAGATGTCTGCCGTGTCGTCATATTGATAAACCCACCAATACGTGCAAATGGGCCTTAACCCATTGCTGCCCAGGGGAAGTCGTTTATCATGCCGTTGTCGTCAATCATTTGTCAGAGTTTTTAAGTTTCTTTCGGTTCTTCGTCGAAGACTTTCCTCCACCCTACTATTTTTCACACTCGTATTTACGAACCTCTGAATTATGCGGTTTCTAAACACATAGTATGTGTGTGCTGGCCAAGATAGTGATATTAAGTCCGATAAAGTCCCTTGCCAACGAAGGCCAGTTGCTCCATATTAATAAATAGTATGTTTGTCTCGCAAGTAGGTGGGCAGATAGGCTAGTGGGCTTTATAAGGCACATAAAATGTAATTTATTTTTATCCGTGTAGGCTTAGTTGATAAAGCCAACTAATCAAAGGGCCTAGACGGGTTTTTCCATTGCAGCAGCCGTTGGGTTTCTCTTTTTTTTTCAAACTTGGGAATCACTATTGAGAACTGTTTCCCAGCTGTAGAAAGTTTGCGTGGGCTAATGTGGAATAAGATGATTTGGGATACAATTCAAAAGAGACCCTTCGATATCCTTTCCAACAAAATATAATTACAACTTCCTGTAACACCACCCAAGGTTAACAATCATCCTTATTAGAGCGGTTTCTTTAAGGCTTCTCGAAAAACAAAAAACCGCTTTGAAGACCCGCAAGTAGTAATCCACCGAATGACCCTCGCAGTGGTTCAAATAAACCACCAAAGCCACAAACGTAAACCATCTCTAATCGCAGACCGCATTTTAATTGTGGCAATCCGCTCGAATATACTGACATATCTAAACTATGTAGTTGGTACAATTGTTTTATGATTTCTGTGGTTGTGGCATTGCTCCGAGAGGTTGTGTGCGGACCTCAGTCTTTTTATTGGCGGATGTCTTGGTGGAGTGGCGGTGCATGCTCCTTGTCTCCGGCCTGCACCACACTTGACACGACTGCAGTCTCCGATTACAGGCAGCCGCCTGTTGACGAACTCTGGAAATGGGAATTGAATCGGATTCGGCGAGGGGAATGAGAACGGGACTGGGAATCGGGAATGGGAATGGAATTGGGACTGGGACAGAGACCTGGGACTCCTTGGGTCGTCTACCCATGTCCCATGACGAGTGACGAGGCAAGTTGGTAACCATAACGTAATTTTCTGTCATGAACAGGGCAAAGCCAGTGAAGAGTGCACTGGTAGAAAATATAGGGAAGTTTCTTAGAAAAACTGAAAAATATCTATATCCTGAAGAAGATGAGTTTAAATAGTTATTGAGTTTTTAAATAAAAAAAAATATATTTCTAAAAGAAAAGTTTTCGAACTTGAGCCTTAAAGGCCTAAAAAAGATACATAGAAGTATTTCAATTTTTTCAAAGTCTCAAAACCCTATTTATGTTGAAGTTTTTTAGGATAATAATTCACCTATAGCTACAATTATTTTCCTCAGTGCTACTAAATTTGGGGACCTCTTGCAACTGGACGAAATTTGATATAGACTGCATTAAAATAATATTCCGTTTTGTTTTCGCTTTCGTTCGTGCTGCAACCTTTTTTGTGAGTTTCTTTAAACATTATCCAGTGCACGCGGACACATTTACGAGCATATATCCATATATAATATTATTTTTCGTAGGGGTCGGCTTAAACGCTGCTGTACTTACATAGTAGTATGTATGTATGGGCTCTGGGCCTGTCGCAAATGGAGCATGCAAATGACCTGCTGGGAAGCATTTCAAATGTTTATGTTTGAACAAAATGTTATATAAACAAGGAAATTATTTTCGTGTGTTGTGCATTAACCATGATATTGTTTTTCAACTCGAATATCACATGGGGTGGTTACTCGCAGACGGGGATCTCCACAGGCAGTGGTTTTTCAGCAGGAAACTAAGTGCTAGAGTTTAAAATATTACAAGTATTTGTCTCCTACGTAACTCGCTGTTCTGGTAATAAATCATAGTTAATTTTGAACGCCCAATAGTTTCGTGTAACTCAATCTTTAAACTACAAGATACAAAAATGCACCTGTGACAGTTAACGTCAGCTCGCCGGCTACTGGAGCACACGGATACCCGAAATTGAAATCAAAATTAATCAAACCATGTTGCAGCAACCTCCGAGGGGTGGAGGGGCGTTTTGTGAACTGTTGGCAAACATTTTGCATATTTCTATTAAAATGCTCTCGAACGGCTCCAGCCTGACAGACAGCCAGAAATTCGAACTCGGCTTGAGTTTGAGCTTGCGAGCCAGGAATGCGGCAGCGTAGGCAGTTATGTAGCAAAAAAAGCTATAGAATATAGACGTACAGTGATACCTCAGAAACATAATCTTTGCCAGATCAAGGCAATAAAAAGTTTGCCATAGTTCGAAGCAACTGTAACTGGGTATTAGTGGAGATTAGCAGTGGCGGGCAGTGCAGCGGCAATTTTAATTACAAGTAACCCATTTCAATGCGAGCAACCAGACCCGGAGCCACCAAAGCCAAAGCCAGTGGTGCCACTGGAGCAGCAGACACAACGCCCACGCACCACCTGAGCAGCGGCGACGGCGGCGGCCACTTGAGCAACTCTTGGGCGACAGGCGGCGACACCGCATTTTTAATAGCCCCTGTCTGTATCTGCATCTCAGGCTAACAGCCTGTCCGGCTCCACTTGCCTCACTTGCTCCACTTGCTCCACACTTGCGCCTCCAGTGCGCTTACAAAGAGCTCTTTTTGTTATCTTGTCGCGGTTGTCGTTCAAATAAAAATTGGCGATGGCGGTGGTGGTGGTGGTGCAAGGTGTGCGAAAAAATATGCGAAATGCGAATGCTCAGGGGTGCTTACACAGTCTTATGTGGATCAGACCATTATGGTGGTTTACGGATATATCGGTTATGCAAATGGGTCATGGCGAATTTTAAAGTTGTGGCGTTACAGTTTACTTGATTTTATAGTTTTGTTTTTATTCCAATTTGGGGATTTATAGTTTACTTGATTTTATAGTTTTTCTTACATTTATATCTTTATTTTGAGAAATAAATAAAAAGCCAGTTACGTTGATTTTAGATGGACTTTTATGCACAAAAAAAAATATAATTTCAGATAAAAAAATCCTCATTAAGATGAGGATCATTCATACGTCTTAATCATTAAGGCCTCGGTGTTATACTATTTTGTTTAATTAAATAACAAGTTAAAGAGTTATTTTTTATAAAGACTCTCTTCCTATCTTGTATTATTGATTACTTTTAACCAATAACAACCTGCCAGATATAACATTTTTGTGATAATTTCCTAGATATCCCCTGAAGCTTAGAATAGATACAGTCATGGGTAGGTTCGAGCAAACATCCGATCATTTCCATGTACATTACCGGGCATATTTGCACGCACGCGCCCCTGCCTAGATAGCGAATTTCAAAGAGTATAGTACTGACAAATACAAATTAAAAAGCTAACAAAACAAAACAAACACTAGATACCAAGTTGAATAGGTTAAAAAAAAACACTATATATATGTATAAGCGAAACATGTGTATCGGCCTTTTTTTCACACCTCAGCAGTAGAGAATATTCGCTGCCGCCGTCAGGTGAGACGAAAGATAAAATCAGGTGAAGCGGTAATGAAATGAGGGGCCCAAGGGGCCAGAGGGGAGGCTTTTGAAAGCCAATGCTAATTGGCAAGGCCGTTGCTTATCGCACTGGGTGGTGGTGTGCCAGTGCTAGATGGTTTGCAACAAAAAACAAAAATAAAAGAGCACATTGAACTTGTCAGTCAGAATCCACGGATTCGTGCTGAAATTAACAGAAACTTTTGGAATTTGGTATGCCTATTTGCAATTCTCATTTCACTGGTTTTTTCTCTTTTTTTAACAAGATTATAAATAAATCAAGCAGAAACGAAGCTTGGAATACCCAGGAATTTTAGGAATTTTATTACAAGATTTTTAAGAAGAAAGTTTATTTTGAAGACAAATTCTATAAGTCTGCATTAAATAGAAAGATCTTTTCCTTTATTGTACTTGTACAAAGTTGCTTAAAATTCTATAATAATTACGTATTTATTCCAAGTGATATTACTTGCTCTTTACTTTTAAAAGTAATGTCTCTATATTAAAAATTTTCCTAGAAACCTAGTTCCATATTGAATTTTTTTTTACTTCCAATAAAGTAAAGATTATTTTTACAACCAAATACCCTATCAACCATATGAGTGGGAACCCCTTAGTTTCGGGGTAGGGCCTCAAAGTGGGCATTGCAAATGTAATCACACCGCTGAGGCCCCACTTGTCAACGTACTCGGGTTTCAGTGGAACTAACACAATCAGCAATAATTAATTTTCGCAGCCGTTAAGTCTAGGTGCGATTTACAGCAGTTGTGATTTTGTTTTTTTTCCAGTGCCTATACCATCTTTTTTGTATTTTTTGCAGTTGGCATTTTTGCAGTTGTCAGACTACGAGGCTTTTGTCACGTCATTTTCACATGGATATTTAAAATGAATTAGTGTCGAGAGGTGTTGCCTGAATGGGAAAGAAATTTCCGGTAACGCCCCACTTCACAGTTCTAATCTCCCCGGCGTTTAGATATGGCGATTGCAGTTACAATCCCATATAGATTTATTGGCATTAGTTTCTTTATTGACACACTAACACGACCTTACCCAAGCAGCTTTAACAAAGTCAATAAATGGCACGTTGTTGGTCAAAAGTGGCTAGAACCCTCAGTAAGTTGATAAGTCCCAGAACAAGGTCCAGTGGCCAAGTCGTGGAAGTTTAAAATACTGCACTGTTTAGTCTTTAAATTAATATTGAAACCCTATAAATATTTGCATCTGTCAATGAAGTGGGGAAACACCTTTTCACGGTTGCTGGACAGCTGCTATTTCGGGAAGGGCGATGATGTTGTTTGATCCGCATATTCGCAAAATGTTGGCGTGTTTATTACCTCATCACGTACCGCTTAAGACGCACACGCAGCGCGTGGATCTCGAGTTACCACCTGAGCTATATATATGTTTTTTTTTTCTTACCTGCAACACGACTGGACGGAGGCCGAAGTGCCACGCGCCTTGTGCCAGCTGCAATCCGACTGATTGATATTGGGCGATCAGGCTGACGATCCAGTATCACATACACTAAGAGAAAAATGCCAGACTATACTTTGTAGAAGTCTTAACATAAATATATCCTCGGGCCACTGACCATTAGATTGGTGGTGGACTGTGGGCAGTGGTCTTTTTACAGCTTGGCGTCGTCTGGTCGGCGGCATTCCTTCTCAAGCCCAAGCACGGCGGCGTTCTCCATTCCAAGCCCCCAACTCCACGTCCAACTGTTGGCCATTCCAACCACTCTTACCAATCCAATTCAAACCACTGGAAAAATGCCGCTGTCCAGGCCGAGATGTAACCATTTAGCGATTGCTTCTCGCGCGCATTCAAATGCACTTGATCTATTGATCTTCGTGTTCGTTTCGCCAAATAAGCGTAGCACAGTGGTTCGGGCTTTAACAAGAAATTATCCACTAATGTAGCTACTTATTTCAATCTATTTTAGAGTCAGACTATGGCTTTTTAAATCAGCCTTCAAAGACGCCCACTGGCGAGTCTAATAAATGCTTTTCCAACTTCTTTGGCAATTGGCAACCACGGTGCCTGGACCAAGTTTTCTTACCAGTTTGCCTTGCAGTTCAATGCTCCGGCGGCCAACCAGTTCAAAATTATGACAGCTTCTTGGGTGAGGGGCAGTGGGGAGGGGCTTTAAGTGAAGCTGGAGCTGGAGCCGGAGCTAGCCTTTTTTGGAGGCAGTCTTTATAACAGTAAAAGGAATTTTTGTATTCCAATACCCGGTACTCGTAGGAAGCCCTTTAAAGAAGGCCATAAAACATAGATTCTTTATTAAAATATTTTATAGTTAAGCTTTATTATTAATTTAATTTAATTATTCATTTTAGGGACACCCTGTTCCGCATGTCTCTTGATCTGGAGCCGCTGCAGCGCGCCAGCTGGGGAGCCACACCGTCAGAGATTGCCATGTGCCAGGCAAAAGGCCAGTCGGAGCGACTGTGTCGCAACTATGTACGCGTGCTCCACAGCTATGGTGAGAACCAACTGTACGCGTGTGGGACGAACGCCTTCCAGCCGAGCTGTTCGTGGCGCCAGGTGAGTGGTCGTCCATAGCTATAGTCGCCAATGTGACGCGACAGTCCCCAGCAAGCTCTAAACTCTCGCCACCAAACTCTTGCAGATGGAGAACCTCAACGTCACCGGCGTGGACAGCGGCGTGGTCAAGTGCCCCTTCCATCCCCAGGCCAACAGCACCAGCCTCCTGCTGCCCAACGGCCAGCTGTTTGTCGGCACAGCCACGGATTTCACTGGCAGCGATGTGGCCATTCTGCGGACGGGTGTGCAGTCCAATGAGGTGAGCATTTTATTATATTTTGTTGTAAACTTAATAGTTTATCGTTTTGTTTTTTGTTAATTGGAAAACACATGTTTTTTTTCTGCCACGGCCCACACTGCGTATTAGTAATTTAATAAAAAATGGTGGCCATTATTGGGAGTTGACCACACTGCGTATGATTAATATTTGAAACTAAATACATTTTAATTGCTTTTGAAACAAAGAACTCATTTCGTGTTGTGCTAAAATTAAATTTAACCTTCTCTATATAGTTTAATCTGCAATTATATTTGAAATCGCAGTCTAATACATTTTTGATTGTCTTTTTTTCAGCGTTTTCTCCGCACCAAGCAATACAACAATAACTGGCTGAATGGAGCCCAGTTTGTGGGAAGTTTCGAGGCCGGAAACTTTGTGTATTTTCTTTTGCGCGAATCGGCTGTGGAACACCTGAGCTGTGGCAAGGTGGGTGTGCACATTACAAGGAAATCGTCCATTATCAGACACTAATATTATTCATTACCCTCAGGTGATCTATTCGAGGATAGCCAGAGTCTGCAAAAACGATGTTGGCGGTGGGCGATGGGCCAAGGAGAACTGGATGTCCTTTTTGAAGGCTCGCCTGCACTGCTCCTTGCCGGGCGAGTATCCCTACTATTTTGATGAAGTTCAGGGCATGACCTACGCCGAATCCGAGTCTGTGTTGTATGCTACTTTCAGAACCTCCGGGTAAGTTCTTGGGTTTTCAACCAAGCCACATATTATAATCCCATATTTCTCTTGTAGATCGAGTATTTTTGGATCGGCTGTGTGTGCCTTTAACCTCAGCTCTATAAACGAGGCCTTCGACGGTGCTTTCAAGCACCAGGAACACGCTGATGCCGCCTGGAAGACAGTGAACACCACGCAACGCAACCAGTTCCAGTGTACCAGCAGCTCCCCCAGCTACGGCCAGTGGCTGGACAGCTCCAAGTACCAGTTGGTAGATCAGGCGGTCCAGCCCATTGGCGGTCAGCCCTTGTACCATTCCAAGCTGGAACAGTTTGGTCGCGTGGCCCTGGACATTGTGACCACAAAGTCGGAGCAGGTGCATGTGCTCTTCGTCGCCAGCAGTGGGAATCATATCAAGAAGCTATCCGTAAAGTATGGAGCCGAGGGAGTCCAGACCTGCTTGGTGGAACTCTGGCAGGCGGACGACACGGGTAGCAGTGCTCTGCTTAACATGGCCTACGTCAAGGTTACTGAGTCGCTGTACGTGGGCACGGATCTGGCCCTCACCCGCATCCCTGCCCAGCGCTGCAGTCGCCACGTTTCCCAGTCGAGTTGTCTCAACGCCATGGACCCGTATTGTGGCTGGAACGAGCTGGTGGAGCGCTGCATGCCCCAGCCTCAGGACTCCTCCGTGTGGCAGCACTGGCATCAGGCTCCCCAGCTTACTTGTCCGGTGCTCAACGCCCCCATAGACGGTGGCTGGTCGGCGTGGTCCTCCTGGGCGGTCTGCCAGCAACACGAGCAGCCGGATAGCAACTGCCAGTGCCGGCAGAGAAGTTGCAACAACCCGCAGCCCCAGCACGGAGGTGCCACCTGCGATGGCATAAGGTGAGTTACATTCTAGCTCAAATAGTTCTTTAAATAATACTCTACCATTTATGATTTGCAGCACCCAAGTGACGAACTGCACCCAACATGGAGGTTGGACAGAGTGGTCTGCCTGGTCGCCTTGCACCCAGACTTGTGGAGTTGCCGTGAAAATCCGTCACCGCACCTGCGGAAACCCTCGACCAGCTTTTGGAGGACGTACTTGTGTTGGATCCGATCGGTCGGAGATTTACTGCCGCCACCTGCCGCCATGTCCTGTGGCGGAGCCGCAATCCGTGAACGGTGGCTGGGGACCGTGGGGCGAGTGGAGTGAGTGCAGTGCTCAGTGCGGCGGTGGCTTCCGGATGCGAAGGCGAGAATGCAACGATCCGGCTCCGCTTAACGGTGGCCTGGAGTGCCCTGGCTGTCGGCTGGACTACGAGGAGTGCAACATGCAGAGCTGCCAGGAAGTGCGCAAGCTCAGCGGCTGGACTCCCTGGCTGACGACGACCAATGTGGGAGGCAATCGTAGCTCCACGGAACCTCAGCTGGAGAAGCGTTTCCGGTATGTCTGCCGCGCCACCAGTCCCGATCCCAGCTCCGTGCGAGTGGCCCTGGCCAAGGAGGAGTCTCGCAGCTGCCAGGCGGACGGCAGTTGCCAGCGACACGGTGACCACGAGGACAGTTCCGACGCCGCTGATTGGTCTCCGTGCAGCGTCAGTTGTGGCGGCGGTACCCAGCAGAGGCAGCGAGGACGCGGCACTCAGAACCGAGCCTGCAACCTACAGGCCTGTCCCTCCGACGACCAGCAGTCATCCAATACCATCGATAACGAAGTGGACCACGGAGAGTGGAGCTGCTGGTCGGAGTGGTCGGCCTGCTCGGTGACCTGTGGCCTGGGACTGCGCAGAAGGACGCGTCGCTGCCTGGGAGGTCACGAGCGACTCTGCCAGGGCCGGGCTCTGGAGGAGCAAAAGTGCGAAATGGTGCCCTGCGAAGACTTCCTAGGCTGGAGTGCTTGGAGCGAGTGGTCTCGGTGCTCCAGCGATGGCATCCGTTTAAGACACCGACGTTGTTTGGTGGAACAGCCAGGTACCATGGAGTGCCGTGGAGCGGAGTTCGAGAAGACAGCCTGCGTGCCAAATGAATGTGAAGGTAAGTTTCAACTGGAAACTAGGACTAAAGGAGTATATTTTTAACAAATACCATAATCTTACAGAAACCCAGACGGCCTCTACAGCCACCCTGCCTATTGTGATTGGTGTCTGCTTGCTGATCACTGTGGCCTGCTGCCTGGCCACCTATCGCTTCACGAAACAACGATTCCTGATCAGTGCTGAGGAGGCTTTGAACAAAACCAGTACAACGACGGCCAGCTTCGATACCTATCCCAACCAGTACTCCAGTCTGCCGACCAAGGATGTAAGTAGAATCTAAAATCAAAGCCAGACAAGACACTGAAACAATGCTATCCTTTCAGTACTACGATCAGCTACCCAAGAGACAGTCCAGCTTCCGGATGCCAGCCAAGAACAGCAATGTGGGCAACGGCACCCTCAACCGGAACACCATGCACCACAACAACACGCCCAAGGTGCTGGCCAAGACCTACAACGACTGCGAAACGGGAACCCTGAAACGACAGTCTGCCCTGAACAACTGCCGGAGCAACATCGACGACGAAAAGTTCTAGAGCGTCCACTGCCGAAGCTCCTAGTGCCATCTATTGCCAGGACCTGGTCCACCGACCATGGAAATGCTATCACCATAATGAAGTTTATTTTAAAATATTATGCAGCTGCAAAATGTTCCTTCTCTTGACTCACATTGAGTCGTTTTAGTTAAGTTGAGGTAGTTTTCGACCTAAGTAGCCCTAGCACGTAATTCATGATAGACTAAGCGGTTATTTAAGCTAAAAAGAGTATTTTATGGTAGTTCCATGGAATATTTCCAAAATTCCACATACTGTTTTCGCATTTCGCATGTATGATTGTTGTGTACATTATTTTCATTCGAGACTGACCGTTAATATTTGCTAAATTAGAAAATTGCTAAATCATCCAAATTGTTTGCCATGCAGCGAGGTTTTCAATATTTAATTATCATTTAATTCACTATTTTATGTATTGTCTAGAGTCCGAACTGACGTAGTCGTGTAATGCTGTAAATTCTAGCAAGTAAGACATCCACATCGAGAAAATAAAGAATTTTTCACTAACCAAAAAAATTATTAATTAATATTTTTTCTATTTTTTCCACCGGTGTTTGGAGGCTTTTCTAATTTTTTAGCTTTTAAAGTTGGGAGAAAACTGCATTTTGCTTGGAAGTCGTGGCGTATGAGGAATTTTTAACAGAGCCAGCAAGTATAGCATACTTTTGGGATGCGCCTCTGCTGGAAACAAAAAATCGCATGAGATATTTTAGTTAAAGGGAAAGAGATATGGGAACTGCTCTTAAAAACATCATAACCAGTAAAATAAGACTAAAGTTTTTTAACTTTTAAAATTAAGAAGATTAAAAATAGAAATACTATAAATCAAAGCCAAATTAATAATTGAAACATTTTGAAACAAGTTTTAAGCCAGTAGAAAAGATAAAATTAGAAAGACAATAAAAAAAAATATTCTAGATGCTAACTATAATGCCTAATTACATGATTTTAAGAAACATTTAGACAATACAAGGACTTTAATTATCAATTAACAAAATATATAAAATGCTATAAAATTATTCATTTTAGTTTTATAACTTAAGATAATGCTATTTAAGGAACTACTTTTTCAGCAACAAACAGAAATATAAACAATGTTCTTTGCCATTTGTGGTGGAGACAGCCACCATTGCCAAATGTCAACTAAAATGGTTCAAAAATTGGCTTTAATTTATCCGTTGCTTCGGATACAGAAACTAAACTTTAAAGTATAAATTAAACTATAGTTAAAAACCTCAATATATTTATTTATTTTTGTTAAACCCACTATAATAGTTTTTAAATAGTTAAAAAGATTTATAAAATATATTTATAATATTAAATGTATATTGTTTTGATGCATTTTTGCGTAGAATCGATCCACGAATCGTTTAAGGTATTCCGCTTAAGAATCTGATAAATATTTCCAAAGATATAGCCTTCGCCAGGGGCCATATAGTGAGTCCACCCACTATTGTGGATTTTTGAAGGGGACCACAAAATTTGACAAAAAATCTAAAAAATTTTTTGTTCTCAGATTTTGATGCAGATTTACGGAGAATCGATCCACGAATCGTTTAAGGTACTTCGCTTAAGAATCTGATAAATATTGCCAAAGAAATAGCCTTCGCTAGGAGCCATATAGTGGGTCCACCCACTTTTGGGGATTTTTGAAGGGGACCCTCCACAAAATTTGTCAAAAAATCTAAAAAATTTTTTGTTCTCAGATTTTGATGCAGATTTACGGAGAATCGATCCACGAATCGTTTAAGGTATTCCGCTTTAGAATCTGATAAATATTGCCAAAGATATAGCCTTCGCTAGGAGCCATATAGTGGGTCCACCCACTTTTGGGGATTTTTGAAGGGGACCCTCCACAAAATTTGGCAAAAAATTTAAAAAATATTATGTTCTCCGATTTTGATGCAGATTTACGGAGAATCGATCCACGAATCGTTTATGGTACTTCGCTTAAGAATCTGATAAATATTGCCAAAGATATAGCCTTCGCTAGGAGCCATATAGTGGGTCCACCCACTTTTGGGGATTTTTGAAGGGGACCCTCCACAAAATTTGTCAAAAAATCTAAAAAATTTTTTGTTCTCAGATTTTGATGCAGATTTACGGAGAATCGATCCACGAATCGTTTAAGGTATTCCGCTTTAGAATCTGATAAATATTGCCAAAGATATAGCCTTCGCTAGGAGCCATATAGTGGGTCCACCCACTTTTGGGGATTTTTGAAGGGGACCCTCCACAAAATTTGGCAAAAAATTTAAAAAATATTATGTTCTCCGATTTTGATGCAGATTTACGGAGAATCGATCCACGAATCGTTTAAGGTATTCCGCTTTAGAATCTGATAAATATTGCCAAAGATATAGCCTTCGCTAGGAGCCATATAGTGGGTCCACCCACTTTTGGGGATTTTTGAAGGGGACCACAAAATTTGACAAAAAATCTAAAAAATTTTTTGTTCTCAGATTTTGATGCAGATTTACGGAGAATCGATCCACGAATCGTTTAAGGTACTTCGCTTAAGAATCTTATAAATATTGCCAAAGAAAGAGCCTTCGCTAGGAGCCATATAGTGGGTCCACCCACTTTTGGGGATTTTTGAAGGGGACCCTCCACAAAATTTGTCAAAAAATCTAAAAAAATTTTTTGTTCTCAGATTTTGATGCAGATTTACGGAGAATCGATCCACGAATCGTTTAAGGTATTCCGCTTAAGAATCTGATAAATATTGCCAAAGATATAGCCTTCGCTAGGAGCCATATAGTGGGTCCACCCACTTTTGGGGATTTTTGAAGGGGACCACAAAATTTGACAAAAAATCTAAAAAATTTTTTGTTCTCAGATTTTGATGCAGATTTACGGAGAATCGATCCACGAATCGTTTAAGGTACTTCGCTTAAGAATCTTATAAATATTGCCAAAGAAAGAGCCTTCGCTAGGAGCCATATAGTGGGTCCACCCACTTTTGGGGATTTTTGAAGGGGACCCTCCACAAAATTTGTCAAAAAATCTAAAAAAATTTTTTGTTCTCAGATTTTGATGCAGATTTACGGAGAATCGATCCACGAATCGTTTAAGGTATTCCGCTTAAGAATCTGATAAATATTGCCAAAGATATAGCCTACGCTAGGAGCCATATAGTGGGTCCACCCACTTTTGTGGATTTTTGAAGGGGACCCTCCACAAAATTTGACAAAAAATTTAAAAAATATTATGTTCTCCGATTTTGATGCAGATTTACGGAGAATCGATCCACGAATCGTTTAAGGTACTTCGCTTAAGAATCTGATAAATATTGCCAAAGATATAGCCTTCGCTAGGAGCCATATAGTGGGTCCACCCACTTTTGTGGATTTTTGAAGGGAACCCTCCACAAAATTTGGCAAAAAATTTAAAAAATTTTTTGTTCTCAGATTTTGATGCAGATTTACGGAGAATCGATCCACGAATCGTTTAAGGTATTCCGCTTAAGAATCTGATAAATATTGCCAAAGATATAGCCTACGCTAGGAGCCATATAGTGGGTCCACCCACTTTTGTGGATTTTTGAAGGGGACCCTCCACAAAATTTGGCAAAAAATTTAAAAAATTTTTTGTTCTCAGATTTTGATGCAGATTTACGGAGAATCGATCCACGAATCGTTTAAGGTACTTCGCTTAAGAATCTGATAAATATTGCCAAAGATATAGCCTTCGCTAGGAGCCATATAGTGGGTCCACCCACTTTTGTGGATTTTTGAAGGGGACCCTCCACAAAATTTGACAAAAATTTAAAAATATTATGTTCTCCGATTTTGATGCAGATTTACGGAGAATCGATCCACGAATCGTTTAAGGTATTCCGCTTAAGAATCTGATAAATATTGCCAAAGATATAGCCTACGCTAGGAGCCATATAGTGGGTCCACCCACTTTTGTGGATTTTTGAAGGGGACCCTCCACAAAATTTGGCAAAAAATTTAAAAAATTTTTTGTTCTCAGATTTTGATGCAGATTTACGGAGAATCGATCCACGAATCGTTTAAGGTATTCCGCTTAAGAATCTGATAAATATTGCCAAAGATATAGCCTTCGCTAGGAGCCATATAGTGGGTCCACCCACTTTTGTGGATTTTTGAAGGGGACCCTCCACAAAATTTGACAAAAAATTAAAAAATATTTTGTTCTCAGATTTTGATGCAGATTTACGGAGAATCGATCCACGAATCGTTTAAGGTACTTCGCTTAAGAATCTGATAAATATTGCCAAAGATATAGCCTTCGCTAGGAGCCATATAGTGGGTCCACCCACTTTTGTGGATTTTTGAAGGGGACCCTCCACAAAATTTGACAAAAAATTTAAAAAATATTATGTTCTCCGATTTTGATGCAGATTTACGGAGAATCGATCCACGAATCGTTTAAGGTATTCCGCTTAAGAATCTGATAAATATTGCCAAAGATATAGCCTACGCTAGGAGCCATATAGTGGGTCCACCCACTTTTGTGGATTTTTGAAGGGGACCCTCCACAAAATTTGGCAAAAAATTTAAAAAATTTTTTGTTCTCAGATTTTGATGCAGATTTACGGAGAATCGATCCACGAATCGTTTAAGGTATTCCGCTTAAGAATCTGATAAATATTGCCAAAGATATAGCCTTCGCTAGGAGCCATATAGTGGGTCCACCCACTTTTGTGGATTTTTGAAGGGGACCCTCCACAAAATTTGACAAAAAATTAAAAAATATTTTGTTCTCAGATTTTGATGCAGATTTACGGAGAATCGATCCACGAATCGTTTAAGGTATTCCGCTTAAGAATCTGATAAATATTGCCAAAGATATAGCCTACGCTAGGAGCCATATAGTGGGTCCACCCACTTTTGTGGATTTTTGAAGGGGACCCTCCACAAAATTTGACAAAAAATTTAAAAAATATTATGTTCTCCGATTTTGATGCAGATTTACGGAGAATCGATCCACGAATCGTTTAAGGTACTTCGCTTAAGAATCTGATAAATATTGCCAAAGATATAGCCTTCGCTAGGAGCCATATAGTGGGTCCACCCACTTTTGTGGATTTTTGAAGGGAACCCTCCACAAAATTTGGCAAAAAATCTAAAAAATATTTTGTTCTCAGATTTTGATGCAGATTTACGGAGAATCGATCCACAAATCGTTTAAGGTATTCCGCTTTAGAATCTGATAAATATTGCCAAAGATATAGCCTTCGCTAGGAGCCATATAGTGGGTCCACCCACTTTTGTTGATTTTTGAAGGGGACCCTCCACAAAATTTGACAAAAAATCCGAATTATTTGGAAAAAATAGGAGCTCTTATAAAAAAATTATTACATTCTCAATGAGCTTAAAAAAATAATGGTATGTTGGTTACAATTTAGTGACAAGCCCGAGACGTAATCACATTCCTCAACTGCAACAACCACTTTTGTTCTCACAAATTTATGTGAGTTCCCACAATAATTTATCAAAAGTCGCGGCCTCTGGAAGACAGCTTGCGATTAAAAAGAATCCACGCGCAGGCGCATCATCAAGAGTCGTCAGGAAGGTGTCACAAATTATTCACATAAGGGGGGACCCAGAAAGACTGGGGGGGAGACCACGCGGTGAAAGTGGAAGTGATATTAAAGAGGGCGAAGATAAATACAGGAAAAGCCAGAAATTGAAACAGTTGCTTGGAAAAATCAAAAATCAACCGAAATCTAAGGGCTCCGACCCGAACACTTCCAGCGAAGCATTCAGCCGTCGTGTAATACAATCCGTGCGTAACTATAACTACTTAGTACAAGCAATGTATCTTGTATCTCGTGTATCTTGCAGCTTCCTCGATCCTCAATCCTCAGTCCTCGAGGTGAATAAACTCTAAACTCTGCGCATGCGCCGGTGGCTTCTCGGAAAGTGTGTCCTCCTGTTGCTGTCATCCAATCTCAAAACATGAAAAATTAGTCCATTTCCGTCGCATAGAGCTCACCTCTCGGCGTTTCCTTGGCCTCCTCCGGGTTGAATGAACTGCAATTGTATCTTATCCTGCACGGATGGCACAGACTTGTTGCCGTTGCAACCTCTGTACCGGTATGGGGATCTAGGAGCATTGAACTCGGAGTTTTGGGGTTGTGGTTTCGGTGGCTCTTTGCTTAGAATCTGGTACAGTCATCAGGATAAGGCTAATCTAATAAGAGGCTAGGAGGATTACATATTGAAGATCATTCTTGGGGAGTTTTTGTGAAAAGATTTTTAAGAATGTATACTGAAGCTATTTTGATTAATCAGTTAATCATTTTATATACATTAAATAATAAAAATTAATAAAAATTAATAAAAATACATTAATTTATACATTAAATAAGCTTTTCTTAAAAACCCAGGATTATGTTATAACAAAATTAGGCCATTAAATTTCTTGAATCTTTCCTTTTATAACAGGCTACTAGTTCATAAGTTCATTTCATAAGGTCATTAGTTGAAGAAATATATTTATTATATTATTTTATTTTTAATTTAACAATCCAGAGCTTCAGTTAATAGACTTTCAAATTCCCTCAACCACTAAACTCTTTTTAATAGTTTCCCCTCTTTGACGAAAACCTTTACTTTGCAATCTCCATTCTATATTTAAAGGATATTTTGGAATCTTTGGACTCCCCTAGAAACTAAGTGCAATTAAATGGCAACCAAGCAAACGACACTTTGGTTCCGCCAGCAAACTTTGGCCGACTGCCACACCGCTGCCCCACCTTCTTCCCCCCTGTCTAAGTCTGATTCCTCCCTTGGGGCACACACACAGATCCCATTAGAAACCGAGCACGCTTCGCGGGGTGCAACGCAAACAGACGCAACGTCTGCTATGGAGATCAGAGGTGACACTTAAAATGGCTAAAATAAATGTTTTTTAGGTGTTTGTTTAAAACTAACACTTCTATATAATATTTGCTGCAATTTTATATTTTTTATATATTTTTAAAATTTTTGTAATCATTAAAAATGATTGATTTTCAATTTAGGAATAAAGGCTTTTGTCAGACTTAATGGGTATTTTTTGATGAAAATGAATTCAAACAATTGTGAACAATTTTCGTATAATTTTTCATAAAATAAAGCTACAAAATCCATCTTTATTTGATTAAAATATATTATATTATTTCTTTATAAATTTATTAAAAATCTATAGCTAAAAACCCGCCAAAGGTCCAACTGCATAGGAAACGGAATCTAACAAAAGTGATGGACCGGCGCTGACTGCACGTCCGACTCCTGACTATTTTTAGCACCGGTCTTAGCTCTCCGTCTAGTTAGCATTCGGGGGCACAGATACATTTACCGATTCCGATACAGATACAGATGTACCTACAGATTTTTCCTCCTGTTGCTGTTGCTGAGGGAGGCTGCGACTGCGCTGCCTCACCGCTGCTCCTACCGCGGCTGCCGCTGGATATTCATCCGTCGGATGCAGTTGCCGCCAGCTCGGCGATCCGCTCGTCTCAATTGCATTCCAGCGCGCGTTCGGTGCGGATACGGTTACGATTACGGCGGACAAAAGATACGGATACAGAAAACCGAACGCCACTATTTTGGATTATCAGTGAAAGTGATTAAAAATATCAACAATAAGGTGGCAATGCACAATTAAAAACACAAGCCAAGTGATTAAAACAAAGTTCCTATAAAATAAAAAAAAACCTATATTGTGAAATATAAATTTTACTGAGAAGTTTATCTATAATTTGCCTGGATTTTTGGATTATTTTAAAAACTGTGGATTATTTATTAAAAGGTTTGCTTTTTAACTACGATGATATTTTTTGTAGCATACTTTTTGGATCTGTAAACCAAGTTTATCCGTAAACTGCGTTTAGGATAAAAGTTAGGTCTAATATCTGTAGGATCTTATAATAATAACCTATCTGAAGTAATCCTCACACTCTTCTTTATCTTAAAAAATTGTAATACCCAACTATAAAAATGAGTAATGCCTAAATAATTCGATGTCGACTAAGTAGCTATTGGAATTCGCAATATCTCCCCGATCGCGATCGAAGGAATCCTAAAAAGGGAGCCTCGTTCAGTGACCACATCCCAGAGCATTTAAGTGGCGAAATGTCTGGAGCGGCGAGCCGAAACAAAGGCAGCTGAATTTAAATTGGGAACCAACTGAAAAATGTCGCATGTTCGATGGGGCGCTCCATGCACCACCCTACACCCTGGCCCCCTCTTTCCTGCCACCACAATGAGTAAAAAGAGATAGGAAAATGTAAACAACACAACCAAAAACAAAAAAAAAAGAGTGAACGCTGCACAAGTTCAAGATTCTCACACATACTCACTCACACACTCACTGGCGAATAGCTAAAAGTAGAAACGCGCGCAGACGAGGCAATAAACGGCACGGAAAGTAGTTTAATACAGTTTGCTGGGGATCCTGGGCCCCGTGCTTCTACATGTCCCCCATCACTCTCCCTCCGGTGTGGCGCACGACAAACAAACTGCTGCAGGAACAACTGCGGCATCTGCGGCAACCACGACGCGCCGCTTAGTTTTTCCTCTTCAGATAGTTTGCTTGATCTATTTTCGTCCCGCTTTGGGATGTGTAGTTTTTCGTCGCCTCGAGTAATTTGTTTGTTGCATTAGTTTTGTGTAAGTTATACACTTGGAAACGAAATAGGGTAGAAGGTTTTTCAAGAAAAACTAAAATAAAGTATAAGTAAGATGCATAAATATTCGGTAATTTTAATCATGAAATCATCATGAAATGACAAAAAATTTGTCTAAAGCTTTGAAAAGTCTATGATAAACATATATCCTATCTTACCATTCTGAGAAGTACCCTCATAATGGTAAATCCAAAGCTCAAATAGTCTTCTTCTAAATGTAGACCCTTCTTCATAGAATTATTTTTCCTGTGCATCTTTTTGTTGCCAAACCTAAGCAAACTCCCCTCGAAAATGCAAATTCGCATTCAAACAAACTGGAGGACGGCGGCCACAGTGTGTTTATTTAAAACTTTGCAACGCCAAAGTCAACTGGCGGCAGTGGCAGTGGCACAAGCCAAACATTAGTTTTTCCCCAGAGAATTAAAAATAAGTGAAAAAGGGTGGCAAGCGGGATCAACAATAACCGTTGCAACATCTATCTATGTGGCAAGGGGGTAAAAATGGGGAGATATTTGAGGGGAGTGGCAATATGTTAGAGTGCGACGACATTGCAGTACTATAGTACAGTTGAACTTCCATAATGTGAACCTTGATTTTAAACTATTTTATGTATCTTAGATATATGTAGATATGTCTTATATATTTCTCCCTTTAAAATAAACTGTTGCTAATAGCTTCTCCAAATAAGTTCTGCAATACATCAAGTTTTTTAAAAACAAACCCATTTTCAAGCTTCTTAATTTTCCGCCAACTTCCTGTAAAATATTATTATTATACTTAACTTGTAAAATCTCCTTCATTCAAATACATCTTATTTAGAAATTCCTAACTGTTAGAACCTTTTAGACACTTTCCTATCTTCATAGCTCAGATATCCCCAAAGTGCCTCAGACACTAGTTTGATTTATACAAGTCTTCCTGTATTATGAGTTCCTTGCACCTAAGAATAAGTAGAAGAAGCAGAACAGGCGGAGACGCCACAGAATCGCTGCTGGGGGCAATCACGCACACTCTCACCAACACACATGCGCATGCGCACAGACACCAAATGCTAGCAAGATGCCACATTGCGCATGTGGCCATAAAAGCGAACGAAGGGGAAGTCGTGTTGTTGTCTATCGCTTGGGGGACACTTCCGTCTCCCTCCGCCCCCTCACCTGGGCCAGCATGTCCCCCTCGCCCACTCCGGCATGTGTGAACTGCTGCTGATGCTTCTGTTGCAACTGGAGATTGATGTTGGGACAATTTCGAGTTGCACTGTTAGCTGGGCATTAAGTGGCATTAAAGTTGTCCGGGCTTATCGCTCCCCCGCTCCCCACTCCCAGCTCCCCTCACCAAAAACTTAGGCTCACACCTCACAGTGCCCACCAAAAGTGTACTGAGACGATCTCTTCCATCATTTCCGCTGAAAATCCATCCATCTGACTGTGACTTTATGGCAGATCGTTAATGTCAAGCCAGCCCTGAAATTACATTTTTCAAATTATGTTTAATGTGGAGCATTAGTTAGGGACAGTACAGTTGGGAGAAGCTACTGTACAGTGAACTCTGGAGAAAGTTTTAGTTTTTAAGGATTTTTTAAAAGTATTATCCCTATTGATTTCCTATCCTTGCAGCAATGGCAAACATGCAACAGATGCAACTCCCACTAGATGGAGACCTAACAGACCTCCAGACCCCACCCCTGCCCATCAATCCACCGCCCAAGGTGATGGCCAGTGGCATTGTCTACGGATTTCGCACCCGCCACTTGTCCTGCATCGAGGAGAATGACTCGGACTCCTTGCACGGATCGTCCATTCCACATGCCTATGATCTGATGCAGCAGGCGGATGAGACCTTCCAGAAGCTCAACACCAACAAGGAGGAGGAGGACGATGTGGACGGAGAGTCCGGCAGCGAGGATGAAGGTAACTTGGATGACACCATTGCCATGATCGACGAATCGCGTCTCTATGAGGCCGACTATCTGGATGAGTTGGTGGCCGAGGAGCAGCTGGAGGAACATTTGGAGGAGTCCTCCGAGCTGGCCGACTCTGGCAATGTGGAGGAAGACTTCTGGCAGCCGAGCTTCAACCGGAACGACATTATGATGACCTCTGTCTATGGGACTCTGAATCCCGAAACATCCTCCAACGCACCGCCGGCCTACGCGGAGTGTGCCACACCCAGGAAAGAGGCGGAGCCGGTTTATGCCACGCCGGAGAAGCGACGGGCCAGCAATCGCAGCTTCGACTCCACCTGCGCCTCCATGACTAGTTCTCTGTATGGTGGCTCCATGAACTCCTCTTTGGATTTGAAGTACGCCTCCTTGAATGGCGATTTGGGTGGCGGGGGAGGCATCAGCGGAACCAGCACCCTGCGAGGCAACTCAGTGCCTCCCATGGACATCTCCATGATGTCCAGCTGTGACGGAGTCAGCGCCCTAGACTGGGGATCGGCGAGTGTCAACTGTGTCCTGGACTCGGGCGATGGAAATCCCGCCGAGGAGTTGACGGAGGAAATGGCTGCCAAGTGCCTGAGTGCCGCGGAAAGTGGTGAGTGCTATATAGTATTTTTCTACTTAACATGTCATTCCGACAAAAAAATATAATAGATTTAAGATCCGCCTATAGTTTCCAGAAGGATCTATAAAAAATAGATAACTTCATTAATTGCGAATTGTAGTCAGGCTCTTTATGCTGTCCATTTCGGCGATTTCTCCGTCATATCTATTGGTCCGAGTCTGTCCGTTTGAAGCCTGGCCATCAGACTGGCCAAAGACTGCCGAAAGGCCATCCATCAATGCTGGATCAGAGCGAGGAGGGTATTAAACTCATTTACAATCCTTCATTACCGGGCATACAAACAGGCGATCCCCGTTTTAATGACCCACTCGCCGCGGACCCATTTCGCTCGCCATTAGAAAGGCAGCCCGCAAGGCGGCGGCTGACCCCCGGCACTTCCACATCCACATCCCAATCCCAATCCCATTCCACTTCCATAGTGCATGTTTAGTACCGACTGCATCTGCAACTGCAACATCATCAACCGTATAGTATCCTCAGTCAAAAAAGCAAACAAATAAACTTCCATTGACTTTGGGTGTGCACTTTGAAAAATGTCAAAGACACAGCTGTTTAAAAAATCATATTTAATATTTCTAAAAAGAATAATTGTTAGATTTGTTCTTATGATTTTGGCGGTATGTTTATCATAGTTATTGCCCAATCTAGTGGGGCTTTATAACAAATACATACGATACTAACTTATAGGGTTTCCTATTTATTTCAAATATAATAATCCTAGATCTAGAACATTAAATCTGATGCCAAGAGTCTAGAATCTCGAGAGTATACCTCATTTTGGGGGAAGACCTTTTAAAAGTTTGAAAAACATTTAAAAATTTAATACAACTACCTCAGATATATAAACAGGACAGCTCTCTACATTTCACATTATTAATGTTTATAATTGATAGAGATTCTTTTATATTTATTTCTGCTTATAATAACAATATAATATCAGTGTATTCGATTCGATTGGCAAATAGCAATAGGCAATAGAGTAAACAAAGCCAGTGAAAGCCAAACAAGTGGCCCGACTTTGCCCATTTCACACAGATGTTTAACAAGCCAGTCGGACGCGGACGCGGACGCGGACTCGGACGCGGAGTCGGAGTTGAAGTGGAAGTCATAGTCGGGGTCATAAATCATCCAAAATGGATATATTCACCGCACTGATCCATCTCTCTTGGCCCGGCTTCGCTGGTGCTTAGCATATTGACCAAGCCGATCCTGGGGGGTGAAAACTTGCTGACATTGACAGTTTCTAATAAGAAAATTGGCAAAGATTTATGCTCCGGCTGCTGACTTCCTTTTCAATTTAAAACTAATCAATAAACTAGCACAGCACTAGCGCAGCTGTGGAGCTGCAGAGGAGCAGCAAAAAGTGTTCAACAAATTGCCAAATGATGTTGCAAAGTGCAATGTCACAGTAATTTACGTGCCACACACTCCCCCTCCCCACACACAGACACACACAACAAGGTCTAAACTCAACCACAAAGCTGATGAGAATTTATGTTAAGGGTTAAGTGTCAGCCTCCGAACCACGTCAATATATGCATAGTGGGTGGTTACGCTAACTGCTGTCATAAAAATGTATTTTTAACTTTTTTCTGCAATGAGCTCATCACTGGATATTTTAAGTTTATTTAATGCATAACTAGTTAAACATTTGTTTATAAAAAACAGACATTCATAAACTTTAACAGTAGCTAAAATATGAATAATATATTTTGAATTATTTTTATGGGTGTTTTTGAAAATCTTTTGCTTGGTTTTTGTTTAAAGATTTATTTAAAATTTAAGAACCAAATACTTATAGGAAATATCTAAATTTTCAATAATTTCTTACCCCAAAACCCTTAAGTTATCACCTTTCTAACAAATACTCATCCAAAATTTTAAATTCTAACCCCATGGTGCTGCAATTTTTCGCCTGGCGGTTATTTGAGTCTTTTTGGCTCTGATGCGTGTGTTATTTTGAGTGTGAGTGCTAGTGTGTGCGGAAAAGTGAAAAGTCATGAATCATATTCATCATGATCACACCGCAAACCGAAACAACCAAACCACACCACACGACCATGGCGAACTAGGATGGATGATGATGATGATGAAGCTGCAGTGGCTGTGCATGCGAGGATGGAGGGGCCAGTGGAGGCCATAAAGTTACATGGCTTATCGCTGGAAAACTTTTAAAAACACTTGAGATTGTGCCGAGAACGAGCTCGGTGGCCGCGCCAGCAGCAGGCGCTCCAAAGAGCGCTCGACAAGACGCGTCTACGAACAGGTAGAAGACCAAAGAAAGAGATCCACTGACTTGGAGGATGGATGGTGCTTTGAGTACGGAGTTACGGAGTAGTTGTTGGTGGCTTGTATCTACAAATAGACGCGGCGGACTGACGGCAGCAAAACAAAGCCAAACAAAAGACCCAAACGGTAGTTGCCATGAATGGACCACAGAGCCAAACCGGCTGGGAACTACAGTGGTAGGAGGCTATAACGAATTTACTTCACAATCTTCAATATTTAATAATCAAAATGGTCAAGCATATAAGGCTTTCCTAGCTAGAATCGGACAAGAATTTTAAGGGAGAAGAAGAAAGATACCAAGGCGCATTAAGCTCTTGGGATATATATCTCCAATTGATCACAAAAATCATTCCTAGAATGTCCAAAAACTATCTACCAAAATCTCTTGTACTAAAATTTCCCTGTACTTAGTATCTGACGGATACTGCGGGATACAGGCTCCGCCACTCAACTCGAACTCCCAATGCAATTCCGTCTGGGACGTTGTTGCAATTGCAACTTTGTTGCCCGTGGGCACAGCATGGACTCCATCGACAACCGACTATTTATTGGAATGGATCTCCGACTCCGACCCAGTCTCCGAACCCGACTCCAACTCCGACTCCGACCAGAAAATTCAGATAGGATCCTCATAAAATTCCCGCGCACGCACTGGCGAATGCATTTTGTGTGTTCGATAAGCTCTTCGGCCGGCGATTCCCACAATCGAAGCAGTTGCACTTGAATTTGAATTTGCAATTGCTCTCTGAATATTTATGAGTTGAACTCCATAGTTAGTTTCATGGAACGGCGATAATGAAAGTACTGCGATTGTTGGAAGCCAGACATTGCCATTTTAATGGCACTTTTAACCTAGAACCGAGGCCCTTGGGAAAAGTTCCAAGAAGTCTTTTTATTTTAATTAACAATTCTTTTAAACACCATACATATCTTATCTTTAAAATAATTCAACGTCTATCACTGTCCCAATTATAATGGTAAGATCAGTTTCTTATCAACGTCTACTGCTATTAGTTCTCGGGTTCTTGGCAATCTAATCTTTTTAGTATTTCATAGTTTTCTTATCGACTAGATGCCAGCAATTAAACGTCATTTCTAGATTTTTGGCTAGCCCAGATTTTCTTGATCAGCTCAAGAGGAAAACTGAGGCACATGGGACTAGGTTTTGGGTTGCAGTTCCATTTCTAGGCCTCTTATCGTGGCCCATTAATCAAGATTGTGTCAAAGGTATTAGCTCATTTGGGGAGCTCAACATGGACTCTGGGGGGATCGGGATCCAATGGACACCAAAACCGACATTCGAACATTTCCAGTGATTACAAACAATTATTGTTGTCAACTGCCTGTGGTAACATTTCATTGCTTGAGCTCTAGTTTTGACTCTTGTTTTTTCCTTTCTAATGAGTAGATTAATTCCAATGTAATTGAAACTTGGTTTGGCTTTCGCTTATCGGCGGTTTTTTGGGTTTAGGTAGCTTTTGCTAATGACCTGGAAAGTTACAAGAGTTTCTTGTAATTATATAGGATTGTGGGTGACTTTTAGATATTCTTGGAAAAATGTAGGTGAAACTTAGACGCAGAGACGCCAAGAATCCGTCAGAAAGAAAGAAGGATTATTAATGAAACTACGAAGTCTAACAGTTCAGTTCATCAAGGACTGCAACTCAAGGACTTCATATCTACAGAACTATTTCCAGAAGAAAATAGGGATATAGGCAAATATAGGGGAAATTTAGAATAGTTAAGATACCAAATGGATTTTAAATATTTTTCCGCTCCTTTTCCTCTAACGAGTTCCTTAAATTTCTCAAATAATAGAGATATTTAGTTCTAAAAGTCAGGTACAAAAACCCATAAAAAAAACAATAAAAACCCTCAAATCAGTGACACCCATCCTGACACATCCTTTTGGGCTAACCTCTCCCAACAAATGCCCCGCTTATCTCACAGATAGCCCCCGCTGAGCGGCGAGTATCTGACGGGTTAATGCGGCCTGAGTGCCAGTGGCACGTTTGCTTGCGTCATAGCCTGAACGGTTAAACGAATAACCAAAAAGAGACCCAACACCGGTGTACCGGGGACCCTTTCCACACTTTCTATATTTGCTATTTCGGACTGACAAAGGCGATAAGGGGACAGTTCCTGAAGTCAGCACGTCAATCAGTCAAAACCCAAGAAGAGCAAATACAAATAAATACAAATATACCAAAAGCAACAACAACGACAACGAAGCGTGAATGAATTTCTCGGCGTAAATTGAAAAAAAAGAGTGATAGTGGAACTGATAAGAACTGAGCGCCGTGCTGAGATCGCATATCACAAACAACAACCAGAGCGAGAGAGCTGACGGTGAGCTCTGCATGGAAAACCGGTATGTGTGGAGAGTTTCACTCTCAGCTGGCTTCGAGTGGAGACCCGGGCTGGCCCATGCCACTCTCCGGCACTTGTCTGGCTTTGCCGAGACCTCCTATCCACTCTCCACTCATTTTCGAAAAGTATCTCAAAGCTCGCGCAAGCGTACCGCACGCGGATCGCACAACGGCGGATTTAATCGGAAAATCTTTAACTCTGCGATCTTTCGGCCGGCACAAATCGACACATTGGATACGGTTTTAACCAAATAGCAACAAAAATAACACCAAACAAGCCAAGTTCTTGGGAAAAGCTTAAAACAAAGCCAA